TGACACCTCTTGAGCCACACTGGACAAGCTGGGCTTGGTTATCACAATTTTTCAGGTGAAGAGACTCAAAAACGTAATGACTTACCCAGATGGCTTAGCCAGAAGGAAGACAGAATTCCAGAGCCACCTCTTCCTGGAAGCCATCCCTGACAGCAACCCCCTAACTGGAAGAGATGGCTGTCTAGTCTGAGTACCCTGTGGGCATATTCAAGACCATGTGAGTCTCCTGAGTCTGGGGGATGGTCAGGTTTCTTGTGGTCCACCCAGTACCTGATATATTAGGTACACAATAAATATCTGTTGAATGAATCAATCAATAAGCGATGAATAATGGGGCTGATCTTTTTCCCCTTTTGGGCCATGAGAGGTTTGGGGGAATCGGGCAGACCTGAGTTTGAATCTTTACTCTGCTACTTCCTGGCTGTGTGACCTTGGACCACTTACCTAACCTCTCTGAATCTCATTTCCCTCTCTGTAAAATGAGGGTATGTTCTGTGCGGAGCGTTTGAGATGACCCGCAATGACTGAACCTAGTGGGAGCTCAGTAACTACTATAGAGAGAAAATTCAAGCCCCAAGTCAGGCTGTAAGGGTTCAGAGCTCAGTTCCAACATTCACTAGCTGTATGACCTCAGACAAATCACTTTTCTTGTCTGGACCTCATTTTCCAGATATGTCACTTGGCATGGAGAGGATTAAATGGGAGTGCATGTAAGAAGTTCCCCATAAGTATGGGCTTCTGTGATTTCCGGAGAGCTCTTTGAAGTATGGGCTTCTCCCACTCTTTCTGCCCCACCCGCAGGGCCTTGCTCCATGCCAGGCACACTGTAGGTGCGCCGACTGCTGTAGGATCCACATATCATTTCTGCAGCTGTTGGGCTGCGGGCCCAGAGAGTCAGCACAGGTCCCCAAGACGCCCTCCCCACCCAGGCCACCTCGCCTGTGTTCCCACCTCACTTCCTGACTGCGTGGGGACAGCGCAGCAGAGCTTCTGCCTTTGCGCAGAGCCTGGTGGAGGCGGGGCAGCAGCTGCTCCTCCCCACAGAGGCTGGAGAGGAGGTGGGGAGTGGGGCGAAAGCCCCTCCAAAGTTAGACCAGCGCCCCACAGGACCAAGCTGCTCATGGGGGCGAGGGGGCTGACTGAGCCCCACTACTCCCAGCTGTGTGAGGGTGGACACATCACCTCACCTCTCTGAGCCTCACTTCCTGGGGCTGTTGATACTGGCGGCCCCCAAGGGTTGTTGGGAAACAGGTGAAGGGTGGAGTATACAGGAAGTGCTCCATAAATGTACCAAGCTCTGCGGTCCCAGAGTTTTCACAGAACAGCTCCTATCTTCCACAGATGGGGAAACTGAGGCCCAGAGAGGGCCAGTGATTTATCCACGGTAGCAGAGCCTATATCTGGCTGGTTCTAGCTGTTATCTTATCTGCTCTCCCCGGTCACCAGCAGGGCTGGTCCTCTGGTAGACCAGGCAGGGGTCCCCTTGGGCCGAGGGGGTACCGTGGGTGGGGGTGGAGGAGAGCAACAGTGACAGCCCCCTTCGCTGAAAGCCTTTGTTGTTTTCTCACTAAATCCTAAAATACTCTATGAAAATTCTATGGTATTATTGTCACTTCCATTTTACAGATGAGGAAATCGAGGCTCAGGGAGGTGAAGCCACTTGCCCAAGCACACAGTGGGGGAATGCAGCTCGACCCCAGAGCCACATCTGTTTGCTAAATGAGGAGACAGCAGCCAGTCCAGGGACACAGTGAGTTCTGTGGTTTGGGGATGTCTTGTTTCAGCCCCCGGCAAGTTCGCTATGGATTCAATGTGACCAAAGAAAATTGACAGCAGAACGCTCTTTGGGGTGACAGGGTTATATGCAACTTTATTTCCGGGTGGCAGGTCAGTCACTAGAATCCCATTCACTCAGAGCGAGTGTGCATGCAGCAAGCCAGTCTCTGCCTCTGGGCCCCTCTGTCCTCACAGCCATCCTCCCGGCCTCTCTGCACAGCAGTCCTGCATAGCCATCCTCTGGGCCTCTGTGCTCTGCTCTGGTCTCCTGCAGCTTTGCAGCCCTGCCACCGTGTTGTGCCCAGAGCACTGGGCAGAGCTCTTTATAATAGAGTCAACAGCCATGTATTGCCCACAGGTGTGCAGTGAGCTAGTCAACCAGGGCCAGGTGAGAATCGGGCCACAGGAACTCTCATTTTATCCACAGGGGAGTTCAATAGACCTCCCCATCCTGGGAAGGAAGGCGAGGGGGAAGGAAACAAAAGGTCAGAAGCATTTGGGGTGTTATTAGAAGCTCCCAAAGTGCAGGGTAGGGGAAGCCCTGTCACGTTATCCCTCCACCCGCGGGTCCAGAGCCTCCCAGCGTGGTAAAAGGGTGGCGAGGTGGCTTCCGCAGCCCCACGGGGCAGGGCGGGGTCGCGCTGGGCCAGATGGAGGGATTGGGGGACCGGAGCTACCCCCGCGACCCCGCCAACTGAGCACCTCTGCCCGCTGCATCTCGGCGCAGCGCCGCGGGGCCCCACGCAGATACCCACTAGACCCCTTCCCGGGGAGCCGGGGAGCCCGGGAGCCGGGGACCCGCCCGCCCCTGGTGCGCAGTCCGCGGCAGAGCGCGTGCTCAGCGTCTCCACAGCGAAGGCCCAGGGGCTACCGGCCTCCGGGTGCGTTGTCTCCAGTACGCCCCCCAGAGGACGTGGGGAGGCATCACAGCCTCCAATTCCCCGGAGAGGGCAGATGGTCCCAAAGTCCCACAGAAAGAAGGCACAGTTCTTCACCCACCCGAAAAGGTGAGCACCTTGGAGGTCTCCCTCTCCTCCAGTGGACCTACAGATTGTGGGGACAGTTTTCCTAGGGGCTGGGAGGACCTTGGAAGACCTCCCTTCTCAGTACTGCTGTCCACTCGCCCCGTGATTTAGGGCAAACTCCTGACCCTCTCTGACCTTCATCTCCCTTATCTCTGCCATGAGTAGTTGGACTTGATCTTCCACCTTTAAAACTGAAAAACAAGACTTCAGTTCCTCCTCCTTCACAGGGGGAGGCCCCCACCTGGGGCCCTGTAATTACAGGGCTTGGTGCTTGCCTCTCTGTCCCCCTTCCAGGGAAACTAGGGGCTTCAGAGCTTCTAGTGTGCCCTCCTGTCTTACAAGGTCTGATTCTCACAGTAACACCCAGGGAGGTTCTTTGACCCCATTTTGCTGGGATGAAAACTGAGGGTCATAGTGAGCAGATGGGAGCTGCAGAAATGGGCTCCGACCTCCACTTCTGTCTGACTTCAAAGCCCCACCGTCTCTCCACTAAAAATGCTGCCTCCTCAGATAATTTCCTCCAACCCGCAGGAGTGAGTTCTCAGAGGAATGGCCCGGGGTCCTTGTTCTTGCTGCTGGTGCTATTATAGACTAAATGTTTGTGCCCACCCCACCCCCCAAATTCATATGTTGAAACCCTAACCCACAGGGTGACTATTTGGAGATAGGTGATAAAAGTTAAATGAGGTCATAACTGTGGGGCCCTAAACCTATAGGGCTGGTACCTTTATAAACACAGGAGGAGACACCACCGCTAGTCTCTGCTGGGTGAGGACTCTCTGTCTGCAAGCCAGAAGGGAGCTCTCACAAGGAACTGAATGGGCTAGCACCTGGATCTGGACCTTCGTAGCCTCCGGAACTGTGAGAAAATATATTTCTTTCATTTAAGCCCCCGAGTGGGGTATGTTGTCATGGCAGTCTGAACTAATGCACACATGGTTAATTCAAACTGAATTTAAAAATTCAGTTCCTCAGTTGCACTTGCCACATTTCAAGTGCTTAATAGCTGCAAGTGGCTACTGTATCGGTAGCACAGTTATAGAACATTTTCTATAAAGTTCTATGGAAAGCTTTGTGCTAGAAAGATCACTCAGGGTTCTGGGTGGAAATATATGCAGAGAAGACCAGTGAAGATGGCATGTCAGGAATCCAGTGAGAGATGCTAGTGGCCAGTGCCTAACATGGTGCCTGGAACACAGTAGGTTCTTAGTAAAGGTCTGTTGAATAAATGAATGGCCTGGGTTAGAATGAGGTGATGGGGCTGGAGATGGAAGGGTCATCTCAAGAGCACATCAAGAGGCTGAATCAATAAGCCAGGGTGACTATTCAGAAGTTAAAGATGACGCCTCAGTTCTGGCATGGGGCAGCTGAATGGATGGTGGAGCTGTTGCCTATGATGGGAGCCTGGGAGGGAGGTAGTAGGTGTGGGGACCGGGACAAGCTTGTGTTCAAGCTGTCACACGAAGCAGTCTAAGAGGCCGTTGCATTCCTTGGCCTCTGGGAGATGGCTGGGCACACACAGGAGAGGATGCCGCTGCAGGAGGAAGGGAGCAGGTGAGGGCCCTGGGGTCACGGACAGTGGAGAGGTGCCCAGGGGGGAAGGAGCGAAGCCAGGAGTGAGCAGTGCCGGAAATGCCTGGGGCCTCGGGCAGGCCTCTGAACGAGGACGGCAAGGCCCTGGACCCAGCCATAGGAGGTGGTTGGTGACCTGGGACAGAGCAGACAGGGTGCGGAGGGAGAAGCCGCCAGCCAGCCAGCCAGGGAGACCAGAAGTGAGGAAGAGAAGGCAGCGAGTGGCTTCAGCTCTTGAGAAGCTGGGTGAAAGGGTCAGCGCTGCCACAGAAGGGTTATGCAGGGGAGGGAAAAGGAATTTCCTCCTTGACATGGGAAGACCTGAGCCTGTTACCAGGGTAAGGGGAAATGGGTTTGGAAGCAGCTGAAGACCAAGGCAGAAGGTAGGTGTGATTCACACAGTGAGGTCCAGTAGGTGGGGTTCAAACTCGCTTGACAGTCTACACCAGATCCTGCAGCGGATCTGAACATCCCAGCACGGTGGGCATGTCTTATTTATTCCCATTTCCAAGATGAGGAAACTGAGGGCCTGGTCTTGAATCCAGCTTTTTTAGCTGTGACCCCAGGGCACATCCTTCACACTTCTCCTTCTGGGAAAAAGCACCACAGTTCCCAAGTGGAAGTAATTTGGGCAGAAAGAGCAAGGAATACTCTTGTTACTGGTGGTACTTCCAAATGTACCACACATATATCTTGTTGCCAGCCCACTCCTGAATATGGTGTAGTGTGTATCTGCAATAATATAATCCCCAAAGCCATTTACTGTGCTCTTATTGTGTGCCATATACTGTGCTAAGCATTTAAATGTGATCCCATTAAACCTCACAGCAACCTAGAGCAGAAGATCCTGACTGTCTCCTTTTTTAAGGTGAGGAAATGAAGGCACAGAGAGGTGACATGACTTTCCCAAGGCCACACAGCATGCCTTTGGTAGAGATGGAAATCAAAACGGTTTCTGTTGTTGCCATAGCATGTGCTCATCTGCCGAACTGCTTCATCGGTGTTAAAATGACAGCAGAAAATTACTTTTTCGCTGTCACCTCCAGCTTGCTGACTGAGGTGGAGGAACAGTTAGTATCCAACTTTCACCCAACATCCTCTTCTCCCGTAGGGATGTAATTGATTGGCTCAGGCCCTGAGAAAGGACTTGGTTTGATCTGCAGGGAGACTGCAGCAAGCTGGCTAGGAGAAACTTGTAATTTGCTTCTATTAAAATCTTTTTAAGACCTGGGAGCCTTAGGGAATTAGGGACAGATGGAGCCACAGATTTCTTCCAGAAACAGCCTCATTTTCTTTGCAATTCCCGGATAATTAATGTGTTGGGGGTCAAGAAAGTGGCTAGTCATTTCCCACTGAACTGGTGGAGGGGAAGGGGGCAGGAAATGAATGGTTTTTTCTAATTAACAGGAGGAGAATCCCCACGGCCCTTCCTTGTCCTAGGTGCTGGAGAGAACTCTCAGTGTCTTAATCGATGGGCTAATGGAGAGGACTAGGGAACTGATCCCTGACATCCAGCTGGGCCATCTACTCCTTGGAATCAAACCATATATGGGGCTGATAAAACTCTGGCTTGAGAGGCTATATCTGGGGTAAAGGGGTGTCTCAGCCATGCAGGTATTCAGATACCAAAATGGTCAGCTTCAATTTTCTGGGGGTGTTAAGGAGACAGCAGCCCAGCAGGATGGATTTATAAATGAAGAGCCAACTACCTTCACTGGTCCCATATTAGGGTACCCTGAGCCTCAATTTTCAACCCATACTACTCAATCACATGCCCATCCATTGCTCAAAGTGTGTGATTCTTTCTCTGGGCATCTATAGATATATACAGTAATCACCATTCCATTGTGTGGCTGTGCTAGAGTTAACTCAACCCATCTCATGTAGAAGGAGACATAGGTTGTTTCCAATTTCTTACTATTGTAAACAACTCTGTGATGAACATCTTTATACCCAAAGCATTTATAACACCTGCTGTCTTCCTTTAGACCTGATTCTTAGAAATGGTAGCCTACCTCCACAGGGGCCCCCAGAAATACATACCTCCTAATAGCCACACTCTTATGTAGTCACCTTCCATACTGAGTTAGAACTGGCCTGAGAGGGCAGAAATCACAAAGTTACAAGGCGACATTATAAAAGGCATTGCAACCTCTGCTTTAGACTCTTGAATCTCTCTATCTGGGGAAGCCAGCTGCCATGTCATGAGGAGACACCCACCTGACGAGGAACTGAGGCCTCCTATCAACAGCCACATAAGCTTCTCAGCCTTGCAGGTAAACCAACTTGGAAAGAATAATGGGGTCTCAATCAAGCCTTCTGCTGACTGTAGCCCCAGCTTCCATCTGACGGCAACCTCATGAGAAGCTCTGTGCCAGAACCACGCAGCCAGGCTGCTCCCAAATCCCCACCCCACAAGAGATGATAAATGATTTTGTTGTTTTAAGCCAACACATTTTGGGTGTTTTGTTTTGCAGCCATAGGTAACTAATATACCGGAACAAGACCAGAGCATTCCTAAGACTCAGCATGAAGAATGCCATTTTTCCTTGCCTTTTCTTATTACCAGATTGTCAGCTCTTACACTGGCATGTAACTGGCCTGGTGATCCACAGTAAACTCCTGAGAAGAGTTCCCGTTGGCTTGAGGATGTGGAGTATATTTGGAAAGCCCCATTTGTGACCAATAGCCCTCTCCACACTGTTTCCACATGAAGATTGGTTTTCGATTTGTGGCCGTGAGCACTTCCAGGAAGAGATGTTCACAGCTTGTTTCTGTGCCCAGCTAAACCATCTAATAGCCCAAGAAGGGCAGCAGAGAAAGCCCAGCCTGTTGTAAGTTAATTGCTCCTTTCTTTCTCTGTATTCTCAAAAGCTTTTAAAGGAATGTAAGCAAAAACATCTGTCTCTTGAAGGAATATTTCATCAGAGGCCATACAACCAGAATAAGGGTTATGGTAAGAAAGCTGGCTTCCATTTCTCTGGCTCACATGCTCAAAAGATCCCCCACATGATGCAGGCCCAGAGAACCTACACAGGCACTTGGAGAAATATTGAGGGTTCTATTCATCTAATTATTAATATGTTTAGTAAATATTTAGCATCCAGACACTTGAGAACATTCAGAGGAGTGGAAATCATGGTCTTTGTGCTTCTTATGGTTCATTCAGTCAGCAAGTTGAGTAAAAAGCCCATAGATACTGTAGTTTATACTAGATTCAAATCCCATCTACTAGCTGTGTGACCCTCAACAGGTTTCTGTACCTCTCTGAGCTTCAGTTTTGTCTTCTAAAAGGAGATAATATGTATTTGTTATGTTCTGAGGATTAAATGAGATCTGCATATGAAACAAATGCTATTGGACCTGGAGTATGGCATGTGTTTAACCATTGCTGCATTTATTATTGTTAGAAGTAGAAGGTCCCACAGTGCTTTGAATGAGCCCACATCACAAAATAATGCAGACCCATATTTGAATCCCAACTGTGTGTCATGAAACAAATGCCTTTACCACTCTGAGCCTCAGTGGCTTGAACTGTATTTGGATTGTTTCTTGTGCAGGTTAAATAAGGCAATATGTGCATATGGATGCTCAGTACATAGAGATACACAATATATGGTAGCTATGTCTACTGTAGAGAAGATAGAAAAGCAAATAATGGCAATAGAGTATAATAAATGCTACAAAAAAAAGTCTTTCCCCTGGGTTTTGAGGGCTGGGTGTGGATTTCTGAGGAACCAGCCTGCAATCAATTTGTGTAGTTAGGACCTTAAAGATCAACTTCTCATTTGACTTTGGGGCAGGAACTCTGGCTGCAGAGGCAGGACTGTGTGGTGGGCAGATGGTCCTGGAACTTCCAGAAGCAGCGGGTTTGTTATTAAGAGTCTGTCAGACCAGGGTACAAAATTCAGCTCCGCCATCGACTTAGACAAATGAACTTGATCAATGCAATCACCTATTTGAACCTTTGTGGCTTCATCTGTAACATAGTGTTAATGATGACAGCTTATATGAATGGAGCATCAGCTGTGTGCTGGACCTTGTTTCAAGTACTTCATATTAATTAACTCATTTGTTTTCATAACAGCTGTATGAAGTAGGTGCTATTTTATATCCCCATTTTACAGTTGGGCAAGGTGTGGCACGGGGAAGTTAGATCACTCACTATTAAGTGGCTGAGTCCCCAGCCAGGGCTCTGAACTTTTAACTCTGCAGGTTTGGGGGAAGATAAAATCAGACGACATGAGTAAAGTGCTGAGCTCAGAGTAACATAGGGTTTGCTCTATAAAGGAAGCTGCTGGGTATTTTTTGCCTGTATTATTCTTTCTAGTCCAAGGAAAGTGTTTTTCATTTTGGATAGGTCATAAATCCACCCTGTGCTAGCTGTCATTTATACAGAGTAGGTGTCCAGGACACAGAAGGGACCGACGGACATTTAAGGTCCCCCAGTGAATGGTGAGTTCTCAAAGAGGTGGTATCCTCTAACTCACTGTGTGGGTCTCTGCCCCAGGTTCCAGGCTGGACGTATCTCTGCAAAGCTTCTAAGCAGCCAATTATAGATCCACCAGGCTAATGAGGCCAAGGGCATGGCCAGGGTCTCCCAGCAGGCCACTGTGCTGAGGCAGTGAGCACAGCCCTTACCCATCAGTTTTCTTACCAATAACCAGCCCTGTTTCAGGGTTAGAGATGGCAGAGGGGGCCTAACCACATGGTGTAGGGGAAAGAGGCTGAGTGTCAGCTCCATGGCTGCAGACAAGCCTGAACCTCAATTTCCTCATCTGTAAAGTGGGAGGACAAGTACTATGCATCTGTTATCTACTGCTGTATAACAAACCACCCCCAAGTGGTAGTGGCTTAAAACAATATACATTATTTAGCTCATCCCTTGGGGGCTGGCTTGGCTGTGGATCTGCTCTGCACCTGTGGCCACCTGGAAGTTCAGCTCACAGCTGGATGGTCTAGAATGTCCTCATTCATGTGTGGTTGGCTGTCCAGGGTGACAGGGTGTGTCTCGGCCATGGGACTGTCATCATTCAGCAGGCTAGCTGCTTCTCCCTGGGCTTCTTTACATGGTGGCTTGGGATCCACGTACAGCGAGAGCACAAGATACACGCACAAACATTTATCAAGTCTTTCCGTGTGTCATGTTTGTTAATGTCCCATTGGCCAAGGTCAAGGCTAGAGTTAGAGTGAAGAGCAACTCCACAGGGCATGGCTGGATGGAGGAAAACAACTTGTGACCAGTTTTACAATCTGCTTCAGTGTCCCTGGCAGAGATATTGGGAAGAACAAATGAAAAATGATAGGGTTCTAAGTAGTAGTTAATAAAAATCGTTTATTGGCACACAGTAGGGACGCAAAACATACTGAATGAACAGTCCTCACCTTCTAGGTAAGATAATTGTTGTTCAGAGAGACTGAAAACTTACCTAGGGTCACATAGCTAATTAGTGAAATGCCTGGACTCTGAACCCAGGCCTGTCTGATTCCAAAGCTCATGTTCATAGCTATCCCTTCAACTGCTTTCCCAGCACATGTAATTCAGTTTAAACATTAATGGGGACTAAGAGAAGCCTCTATCTGGGTTATAGACCTGGTTTCTCATGCCCTACCATGAAGGTCTGGTCTCATTTGAAAGAAGCCAGCTGATTACTGCTTGTCCTCCAGGATTGAGCACAATTGATCCTGGCACAGAGTATGAACCAGAGAGCATTTGTTTGAATAAAAGATGCTGTCCCCTATTCCCATGAGGATTTATGTGCATAGGCACACATGGAGAAGCTGCTTTGGCTCCCATGTGCAGATCGTCCCTTCCTCCTGCTAACATCGTTGGTAGCAAGAGTGTCTGTTTCAGAGCGTATATTCTCCAATCTCAGCTTTCCTGTGAGAAAAGCCATTTTGTCACCTCTTGGAAAAGGAGATGGCACATCTTTGGGGAGAGAACAGATGATCTTATACCTACCTCTTCTGCTGGAAAGGCCACAGCTGATGGGGGCTATGATCAAAACCTATAAACCTACAAAGGAAAAGGGAACGAAGTCCCTCCTGTGTCCAGAGGGTGAGCCTGGTGTGATTTTATCCTGGTGTGTTTGGAATTCTCGATTTTGCAGGAGAGCATTATGTCCTCAAGGTCCCCAGTTCAGCTCTGAAGGGGGCTCATTCAATTGGTTTCTTTGTTTTCATTTATATCTGAAAGTTACCATAATTAAAAAACAAACAGCAATAACAAAGCAATTTGGATGCAGAAGGTGGGGAGGGGGAGGCACAGGCTCTGAAGTCAGAAACGCAATGCCATTCTCGACTCTGCAAGATACCACTATACAATCTCAGGTTCCCTCCCCTCGCAAAGCCTCAGTTCTTCTTCTGTAAAATGGGCATGATAGGAGGTCTGTTCACTAGGATTGCTGTGGGGATTAAATGAGGACTTCCTATAAAGCTCTTCGCCCAGTGAGACTTAGTAAGGCTCCATGTCTGAGCCAGGGTTTCTCAGCCTCACTACTGTTGACAAATGAGGCCTAATACTTCATTGTGGGGCATTATGGAAGCTGTCCAGGGAATTGTAGGATATCTAGCAGCATCCCTGGCCCATCCCCACTAGATGCCAGGACCACCCCTCCTAGCTGTGACAACCCCAGATGTCTCCAGACAGTCAACTCCAAATGTCCCTTGAGTTGTGGGCGAGATGGGCGCTGGTTGAGAACCACTGGTCTAAGCCTTCATTGTTATCATCAATGAACAAATAATTCCCTTCGCATGTGAGGCTGAGATACCTGATCTACGAGGGGAGCGCTAGCCGGGTTGGGCTTTGCAGGCTGTAGCTTGTGCGGCTGCAGATGGCACAAGCAGTTGCACGGTTTACTACTTCAATAATGAGATGTCCACGGATGAGCGAGCACTTTTAGTGCCAAGATTCATATTTGGGTTTTGAAAATTTTTCATAGAACCTTGGGAGTTTTGACAGAACACCTTGAACTTACATAATTCCTTCTCCTCCTTTAAAAAAGTACCTTCCTAAAGTTTTAAACCGTTGAATGCACCCTTGCAGAAAAGAGAAAAAACAGACCAGGAAATGTGAAAAAGGAAACTTACCCATAACTTGAATCCTGTCACTCAGAGATAATTTCTACCCCTTTGTGTGTGTGTGTGTGTGTGTGTGTGGTGTGTGTGTGTGTGTGTGTTTTATAAAAATGGGACATTCTGCTTTCTGACCTGCCTTTTTCAACTAATAGCACATCCGGAGCACCTTTATATATCATTAAGCAACACATAGTCTTCCACAAAATTCTTTTATATTTCCTGCTTAAAAACCTTCTGTGACTCCCGGGAGACTGGGAATAATCGGGCTTCACAAGAGGAAAAGTGGTGAACTATAGTCCTTTACAGGTGTAATCTGGACTCATGGGGCCAGAGACCACAGACCTCATGAAGACAGAAGGCAGGTGTCGGGTTCTAGGAAGTCGTTTTTGCCTCCAGGATGAGGTACAGACGTCTTTGGCTGCTGTCCATTTTCTCCAGTATCTAGTCTCAGTCTACCTTTCTGACTGTATCTCTCATTTGTGGCCTTCTGTCCAGTTACTGCCTTGGAATGTATCTGTCCATCTTGTCCTGTTTCCATCAAAGGTTGTTTCCAAGGCAAACAGTGGTGTAATAACATCCTTACACATATACAGTCGATCCTCATTGTCCACAGACTCTGTATTTGCCAATTCAAATACTTGATAAAATTTATTTGCAACCTGAAAAGCCATACTCATGATTGTCTTGAAGTCACTTGTGGGCTTGTGCTTGCAGAGTGGGGAAAAATTTGAGTCGGTCAATGTATACATTGCCAGCTGAGGTTGAACAAGGCAATACTCTGCCTTCTGGTTTTAGCTCTTGTACTGTAAACAAGTGTCCTTTCATGGTAAATTTGGTGCCAAATTTGTGTGCTCTTAGGATGTAATTTTGTTATTAAAAATGGCCCCCAAGTATAGTGCTAAGTGCTGTCTAGTATTCCTGAGCACCAGATGGCTGC